ATAATCTGCTAATATGTTCCATTTTGTAAGTCCATATATGTACAGATAAACAGTTATCATGAAATTATAGGAGATTTTGTGGTTTTAACCAATGTTTACCGAAGGACGTATTCGGTATGACGCTTCCCAGTCCATTTACGACAAAGTCTTTCCTGCTCATGGTCATGGTGGGAGTTTCAGTACAATGCGTCCTCGATGTGACCGACCTATTGGTAAATTCGAACCTCTATTGCGATTTAGACTCAATTTAGCGCGATTTTACTTGGGTGGTTTCCGGCACAATAGGAGTGCAGTTTTCTTCGGTCTTCAAACTTTGATCGATCATAGATTGTTTGGAACTTCCTGTAAAGGACATTCTTTTCGACTGCAATTGTGGGAGTAATATGGAATGTTACTGCACGTATATTTATTATTAGGTAGGACCTTCCATAGTCAGAAATGCTTAGTAGGACAAGTCATTGCAGTCTGGGAATTCTGGGAATTCTGTTAAACTGAAATGTATAGAAAAGATCAAATCTGACCACGAGCCTTAGTTTATGGGATGCTCTCCCTTCGATTCTTCCTTTCTGTCTTGAGTTTTCTTTTACAGTGGTCCTTCCCCACCGTGGACGAACTCGAAGAAAATTGATAACTTACGATTACAGAACTAGCTAAATGCCAAAAGATCAATTTCTCTGATGGTTTTTTTCTCTTTGATTTGTCATCCTCTAATTTCCTTTACTACAGTGTTTGTAGAGCTGGTCCTAACACCATTGTTTCCGTTCATCACTTGGCCTACATTTGTTCGTAAATGTTTTGAGGGGCATAATTCGATTTGAAAAAGACGGTTCCTCTCGTTTTTTGTAGTCTTTCTTTCGTGCATCTGTTTTTAATTTTGTTTTTTTTTTCAATCATTAGTGGCAGTCTTTTGATTTTTTTCAGGTGCTGGTATTGATGTGGGTATTATCCTAGACATTTCTTCTGAAAAATTTGGGATTGAATTTTGTTTTTAGCACAATAAAGTGGAAAATCATATGGAATAATGGGATCCGATATGAAGTTTTATGCGCTACACTGGATGCCTTGATAACGATCTGTTTTTCATTGCCGCGGTAACGGAATGCATAGCTGGCTGCCACGAGACTTTGATGACCAGCAGTAATCTGTATTTAACCCTCAGTTATTCTCCTTGCTTTCTTATATTCTGCTCGCTTTAACTCTGTAATGCTTCCTACCGTAATGCCGTCCGTCCTCGTCCGGTTCATTTCCTTCAAAGTTAATTATTTCGCTTTTTCTGTTTTTTTTTTCAACCATTGCCTTTTTTCGATTGGCCTCGAATCGATCAATGGCAGTGCTTCTTGTTCGCGGGGTAACTGTTATCAATTCAGCTGCGATGCTTTGGAACACCAAACTGTTTGTTTGCTTCTATTCAGCAGATTTGTTATCCTCTGTATGAAGCGTAAATATACTCATAGTCAGTAGTGCCCTGCTATTTGTGGTGGTTTTTGGGAGCTCATTCCCTCACAGTAGAGCTGTACTGTCGTAGAAAAAGTGCACTGCGTGTTTTGAGCAAATACACTTGGATCCAGGTGTAGGAATTTGCAAAAAAAACCGTTGACTCTACCTTTTGTTTGAGTAGATTAACTGGCGCGCTGCCGATTGTTTAGGAAGGTCATGGTGGATCGTTGATCTGTTTGTCTGTTGGCCAAAGTTCGCTTTTGTCCAACCTTGCGACTCATTCGCAGCTGCCTACCGTCAACAAAACTGCGAATGTTGTTCAACGATTCGCCGTGTACGATGCTCATTCTTCGCCATCGAACAAAGTTCCTACTCGTTCTGGGTAGTCAGTCAGTAAACATTTCTCGATTTCGCCGTCTTCACATTTTTTATGAATAATATGAATGCTGCCCCTCCACCCTGGTGCCAGAAAAAAAAGCAGGAGTGGAACCACTATCACAGTAAATACGATTTTTTCAAGGTTGGTTCCCGGAATTCCTCTGTAGAGAGGGATCCACTATTCACCCGAGACCAACCACCCCGGCCTCTCGCTTAATCTTCACTTTCGTTCACAATTGCTTTCTATGCGAACTTTGTTGGGAGGGGGCTGTCTTATGTTGCACATTGAACAGCTGTCCTGTGCAGGGTACTCATGCTTCACCATAGCTCTCTGCTTATCCTATACTAACAAGCAAGCTTTCTGCATCAAGTCTATGGCACCGAAAGTTTGGCCTCCTATTTTCGTGTTAAATTCTTTGCAAGTGAGCTTTTTTAACCAGTGGGTGTTTGCTTAGCTGCCTATTTATACTTGACGAGAAGCAAAGTCTCTTCACTCGTCCAGTTTTTCCAGTGCTATCCTGTCGAAGTGGCGCATATTCGCCCCTTAACTACTTTTATTCGCAGAATGGTTTCTTCGACTGAAATGTCGGCTATAGAAAAGGCGAAGAAACAGGTAAGCTCATCGCCGTTGTTCCCTCCGGATTTCTTTATTACTAGTTATATTATTTCAGGATTCCGTTCACTTTTTACTCCCAGTTACTTCCAGGCTGCGTTCACTTGTGCGGAAAAGAATATAGCGAGCGGCTGCCGACTAGGTGTCGGTTCCGGTTCAACTGTCAAGTATTTTTCTTTTTCTTTATTGACACCGCCACCATTTCATCATTCTTGGTAGCCTTCCAGTAATACGTATTTCAAGTATTTCAGATTCTTGGTTGAATATTTGGAAAATGCCGTGAAAACGAGAAAGTTGCAGAACATTGTTTGTGTACCAACAAGCTTTATGGTAAAATTTCAAGAGCAATCTTATTTCATAATGGTTGAAATCATCGCTGTGCTGCGTGCATTCGAGCGCTAGTTGAATTCTTTGGCTTGGGCTCATGTTTTGGTCTCTAAGCGGCACAATGCTAAGTAGCTCTTCCAGGGTTCAAGTATGAAAATCCGGTTTCTGGGTGTCACGTTGCCTTTGTGACTCAGTTATTTGGAATCTTGTTGTATAGTGTTGATGTTCAGACAAAAAGGTGGCTGATAGATGCCGGTTTGACTGTATCAGATCTGGATTGTACGCCTGAATTAGACGTTTGTATCGATGGAGCTGATGAGGTAATCATTATATATTCCTACTGATAACTGTACAAAATACAAAAAAAAAATAGAAGGGCATGCCACTATTTTTAAACTCTGACTAGTTAATTTCAAAATTGAAAGCTAAAGTCTTTATGAATACCAGCAGTATTGGTCAACTAGCCCTAAGTCCAAAGAATGAATGCCTTGTTTAGTTCTGTGTTCCTGTGCCAAAAATGTTTACCTGCCCAAAAGTGCAGTATGGAGAGCCCTAGATGTCGTCTTGTGCAAATAATTGGCATCAGACGACTCCAGCTGATTTGCATCAAACCCAGCAGCTGGCTAGGAGTGTTTTGAAGGAGAAGAGGAGAGCAGGAAGGGTTTAAAGTGTAAGGTTTGTAAAAAAGGGCAGCATTGCAGTCTCGAAGGCCAATACACTTTCTCGAGATCTACCAGTTAGTCGAAACGTCATGAGCGTCTGAGATGGAAATTTGGTAAAAATGAAATCACTGTGATAGCTAAAGGAAGTTGATTTCTCACTGAAACTTGTTAATCTTTTGCGGATCGTTTTTAAACCGAACAAGGGAGAGTGGGAATGTTCGCACTGTAGAATGCTGTACCACATGAGCCCATCCGATAGCAAACTGAAAGGTAGGGTTGGATTGAGCTCAGTGAGAAATTCGTCGACTACAAAGTGGAATCATTCCCACCAGGGGTAGTCTTCCATGACTTACAAGCAGTACTTACCATTATTGGTTCTGGATCATCTAGAATTTACCACCGTTTCCCTCTAAATCTATGGATTTGTTATCCAAATTGCTGTTCCCTATCTAATAATAGTATTTAGGCTACATACTCTATTTTTTATAGTTTAGGTAGACGCCAGCTTCACGTGTATCAAAGGAGGCGGTGGCTGTCTTGCCAGAGAAAAAATCGTCCAGCATGCTGCTGACAAATTTTTTGTAAGTATTATAGAACCACTCTGATTCCAGTTATCAGATTGCATTATTTGAGTCGAATTTTCCAGAGTATTAACAGATCTATTTTCAAAAAAAAAATGCATGTAAAAGGTCGTTCTATATATCAACTTTAGGTCATCGCAGACAGCTCGAAGGAGTCAGTAAAACTCGGAGATCACTACAACCATATACCTCTTGAAGTGAGTCCCTCCAGTGTTTTCAAGGCTGTGCGCTTCATTTGATTCGCGTTCTGTTTTTAGCGAGGATATATTTCCAGTGCTGCAGTTTGCTGGTGTAGTTCCTTTAAAAGCTGCAGGCTTCAAATTAGTCTCATGGAAAAGCACCCCACTATTTATTAAGGTCCTACCATTTGCTGCTACAGCTGTACTGCGCTCATTGCCACGAACAGAAGGTGGTACGGCACAGTTGAGAATGGCACTGAATAAGTGTGGACCCGTGTTAACAGACAACAACAATTACATCATTGACTGGGCTTTCGAAAAGAATAAGCCTCACGATTGGAAGGAAACACAGCTTAGACTTGCTAACACACCAGGTAATTTCTGGTCTATTTATCTTACCGTGATCAAAATGAAGGAAAATGCCATGAGTAGGTCAGCCTTTACTGTCACCGAAACCTTCTGGTCAGAATACTAGCAGAGGATTTCGTAGAAGGCTTTTGTTCTTCTTGTCTTTTACTTCCTACATTTTAGAAAAGGATTGCTCGAGTCAGTTAAATCATGGATTATTTTAGGAATAGTGGAAACAGGTCTTTTTATCGATGTAGTTGACAAGGTGTACTTTGCCTATCCCGACGGAAGCGTAAAGGAGCTCGACGCTAAAAGGAAACATTAGCCACGAAGCTTCTATGATCGCCGTTGTTGTAGTTTCCTCAGAGTTAATAGTTTTCATCTTAGCGACGACCGGTTGGTGACATTCTGGCAGGAAATTGTGCCTTCTCCTCAGGACTGATTGCTCTCTTCTCCTCTCGGTTTCTTTCTACACCGAGTGCCTTTATTTGCATTATTATGCTGGTTACGGATATTCGAACATATTCCTACAGTTGTGAGCATTCTTGATGATTTCACTTTCTTCTCATTCCCCACAGCCATTACGAGCTCAGTTTCTTAATCATTGATTTTCGATGTTCAGATTCTGTACGTGTTATGCATACACTTGCGATTTATCATATCCATTACACGGAGTAAAGCAGATCGAAGAGTCGTCACTGTTGTTGCTGTTTTTCTAAGCGAAACCTTTATGCTCAGTTGATCCTGTGAAACGTTCTCCGATGCTCCTGGTGAAGCAATAGAAGGGGTACAATTGTGAAGGTTGTAGAAAATATGAGCTTTGCGTTCGATGCGTGAGATAGAGAGTCCTTAAGTTCTACAGGGTGATACATTTGGAGATTCGGCAGTCTGTAATGTTACCTGAACAGCAAAGGAGTGTCTAAGGAAATCTTCTGAATAGGAGTATGTAAAACGAACAAGCTGCTTCCGCCTGGGTGATTGGTTTCCCTTACAACGCATGGCGTGAGGAAAGCCAAGCAGCTTTATTTCGCTTCTTACTTGTGCTTAAAACTAGAGAAGGTTCTCAGCCAAAGGTATATAGTTTTTGCCTAGGCCTAACATAAGTAGAAGAGCCATCCTCCCTAACTGTATTTTCGCCCTACGGCTTTTTATCAAGAGCATCGGTAGGAAACTGCAGCAGACATTACGAATCCGTGCATCAAATGCATCCGAAGTGGTGCATTCACAGTAAAGCGTTGGCGTCGGCGCCGGTCGTCGATCGATAATTGCCGGGCGAATGGTAAAGGAGCAGATTCGGGGTTTAAAAATTTCAGCCCACGATTGCACGAGGAAGTACAGGCCTATTTTTGTCTAAGGAGATTTTGCAGCAGAAAAAAAGGCAATAGTGTATTTGAGGAAGAAAAAGATGAATGATTGTGCATGTTCCGTATCAATGCGCGAGTGTCTAGCCGTCTGGTTGTCTCCCGCGCAAGTGTACTATTCTCCAGCATCGACCAACGCCGAGGTGGACGGAAAATGCCGGTCGTGGGAGTGCGCCCACAACAAAAACCATCCATCGTTCCGTTGTCAATCAATTGGCACCACCCTCGTTGGGTAAAAAACTGCCGTATGCATGGAATGATATGCCTTCAAAGTATCACTATTAATCTAAACAGATGGCAACTGCATGGAAAAATCCCAGGAACCCGTAGGCAATGGATCAGGAGAATTCATACCTTTCACAAGCATTTCAACAAATGGAAATGGTCAAGTATCCTTTTGCAATTCTCACTCTTTTGCTTTTGCATTTTAAAATCCTATTCTTTAATAGTCATGGTCAACCAACCGACAAACCTTTGAAAAAGATTGCTTCGGAAGTAATTATTGATTCACCTTTTTAGTTATATTCGTTTTGATATAACAAATTTGACACTCAATATAGAAGTATTTATATTCTGTGAGTTGCTTGTGAGGGCCTAGGTGAAGTAGTAGTTCAAATTCATCGAACTAACCAGATCTGATGAAAAAATTTTGGTAAAACTCCAAAAACAGTGCTTCGGTAAAAGCCACATTTACCGAAAAAACAAAAGATTTTTTTTTCGTGAAAAAATGTTTGTCCGAAGTGGCTGAACTAGTTTCGTTTGTTGCAGTCCTTTATTTTTGACCCATTTTGTCCATTTCTAAATTTGGTCATCCCCAAATAGCTCCTTTCCCTTTTTTGTCATGTTATATTTCACTGAGCCGCTTCGGGATTCCAGTTTGAGCATCCTCCCCGGGGAGAGCAAATCGCGGCCGACGAGCAATGCAATGACAAAACAGTGGATGAATGTGTCAGAAGAAACGAACAAGTTTCTTGGCTTTTGAAAGGATCAATCTCTTCCCGTACGCAACCAGCAATTATCGGCATCTTTCATGCATAACGCTATGCATTTCTTGAACTACGACAAAGCGAAATTTGAATTGAATTTGAAGAAGTCATCTACAACCAATGGTAAGTTGAAGGGAGTCTTCTAAAATAGATAAAGATAAGAGCATGAAGTTTTCGAGCGTCAATCAATCCCGTCGAGGAATGCGCCATCGCATTCGACTTCCATTTGGAATTGTAGTGCGCATTGACTGCGCATGTGGCCAATACAATGACTGATGATGGCCAGCCAATGTACAAGTCAGTGCTTTTATCCTCCCAGACGACTCTGGTACTATTTAGCCGACCTCGGAGGGATGAAGGTCGTTTGGCCTAGGTGGCTTCCGAGATCCGGGATTTGAACCCGTGATCATGCGTATGCGACAGTGCGCTACTTGCCTCTACACCACCTCCGCACATATATATAGATGCTAACGAATAATACAACCAGAGAAGAAAATTCCGAATAACTAAACGAGCTCCAAATGAATATATACAAAATCAAAATAAAAAGGCCGAATTTATTAAACGTGGCTTATACTTATACAAAATACAAACGTAATAAACAAAAATCAAAGCGGAAACAGAAGGGAAAACAGCGGTTTTTGGAAGGGATGGGTCTCTGATATAAGGCACTGATAAAGGCAGAAATTCCATGATTGACACTCAAGATGGGACACCTTTTCCTGTCCCTTGGCCTAACAGACAGATCCAATTACCCCACCGCAATATCAATGGGGAAAAGGGCAGATGTAAACTAAAGGTGACTTTCGAGTGTGACCCATCTATGTAGCCCACACAGAAAGTTGGAATGCAGCTCTAAAACTGAACATTGATTAGAAACAGGTTGCGATTACATTTCATTGTACTGGTAGTTCGCCTATTGGTGTATATTGCCCACACAGTACTCAGAAGTACATGTTTTCTCTGGAAGCCTGATGTTGTGTGGGGGCCCACTCATGAATTCCAAAATGCTATACATAATTACTAGTGCGGGTAATTCACACGGTTTGATGATCATTCGAATGACTTATAGAATTTTTCAAGATATGCCAATGCATCTCAAAAAAGCTCTTGACTTTTAGCAGTGCTGCTTACGCCAAGGAATCAGACTAAAACCGGAACGCCTTTTCAAAGTCAGGCGGACTTTTTAACGGAAACTTTGAACGAAAGGAATGCTAGCGAGAATGATCTCGTGGATTGGTCGGGCTCGTGACAGGGAGATATTACTAGTGCCCGTTCAAAAAGTTGATGATCACCGGGACTGGTGATGCAGGTGATTCTAGAAAATGTTCTTCTGAAAAGCCAGAAATAGATTTAAAGTGACAGATGGAAAGTTAACCAGGCTGGCCTAGGCAAGGTTTCACCACCAACATGTAGAGACTACCGATATAGAGCGAACGTGGCTGGATACAAGTCCTACCTTGCAATTAGACTATCCAAGAATGGGAGAAAAGAGTTTTTTCTGGGACTTTACTCTAGCGAACTGAAGGAGAACAGATCACTCGAAAAAAAAAACACGGAAGTCTGTTCCCCCTTGCGTCCCTCACCTGAGCTTTCCCCCTCTGCACCCGTTCCATTTGTACCATTCGCGATGACAAGGGGAAGATTACAGAAAAGGAGACGCAAGATGGACAGTACTTACAATATTAGAATAATAAAAATACATCCAATGGTCATCAGCACTGTAGGGTGTAGAGGTAAAAATACCTACGCGAATTTCACTACACCAGATGTTACTACTCGAGCCTTCCAGGAGAAGGACCCAATCAATTAGAAGGTGACCCTTCTTGGGAAAGAATTAAGCTTTGAAGTATGTATAGGATGCACACTAAGTAGGACTACTAGTAGGCAAATAAGACTCTCGATACCTCTAGAAAAATGAACTATGTAGCAAGCATGTTAATATATGATTAGTATAAATAAATCGCATATGCTCTTCCTTGACAGTGAATGCGAGGAGATTCGATCGTGGAGAACTCATAACTGGCGGACCTAAGATGTCTTTGATTTTCCAGATTTGGCGATGTATGCTTTGTAGAAGAATTGAAGGAAGAGGACAGCAAATGTGACATAAATAATGAATGCCAAATAGAGGTTAACCATTGATTGTTGGCATCTGAAATATATAACCATTAGGGTACGAAGATGAAGTAAGAGAGCTCACGGAATGGCAGCAGAACTTACGGCAAGTTGGATTCTGTTTTGATTCGATACACAATATAAGAGACAGCAACTCCTGCTAGCATTTGGACGGTTTGAATAGTAGTAACGCACATCGAGACCTAAAATTGCCACTAATAAGAAAACTGCGAGGCGTAGGCAACTGTAAGGTTGGATTCAGAGGGTCTGGTAAGCTGATCACTTGTTTTTAGATGGAACAGACTGTTGGAGAATATACTCTTAACCTTAGTCTCCCGATATCGCACACTTCTGAATTGTGGATTGGGTACGCACACCTTCACTTCAGGTCCGGATGTCAGCGGCATTTCCCACTTAATGAATTAAGCAGGCTCAAGTGGCAGGGCGCGTTCATACTGCCGGCGTTTGCCCGTCAACGTCGGCCGCTGATTGATGGCGGGAAATAGTACGCTTACGCGAGAGGCATCCAGGCGGATACACATTACCCAAAAAGCAAATTATTCATCCCATCTTCTAATTGCGAACTAAAATCTTCACATCCAAATTATTAGTCTTCCTGTTACCCGCACGCTGAGCCGGGTTGCAACATGAGTTATCGCTGCTCGGAGTATCGATTGGTGGCCGACGCTGTATTGGGCGTCAGCGTTGTACTGTGGATGCACCTACAGTGTTTTTAAGAAATTTCTTATATCTGGCCCAGAAAAAAACCAATGAACCTATCAGAGTGATAGAACGCCTTAGGAACTTACCCATTTTGGCAGTCGCCGTCCGTAGGCTGTGAAAGTGTAGTATGTGTACATGACTGAATGGGCGAAATAGTTCATCGCTATGAAAGCTCGACCTGGAGCAGCATGTTCAGCACCTGAAAACTTGGCATGATTTGTGTGTCATGCATGACGGTGTCCGTTATTCGACAAACATACGGTAAGCCTGTAGGGTTTCTATTTTTAATGGAAGCGGAATGCCGTTCAGTCTAGAAAAACGCGTCTTCGACAGTCCCAATGAAATCGTTGGAAAAAGTGCAAGCGATTTGGATAACAGCCCCACATAACCATTGATGCACAAAAGACCAGAAATAGGACAGAATCCCATTCAATCTCAGACTTGCAGGAGGTAATCAGGCATGCACTGGCCCATAACCAGAACAGGAACGCTTTTTCACAGCTGCGTGTGATGAAAATTAGATCCGGCTCAGTGACTCTGAACAGGAGTGGCTTCCGATGGCTTCTCGCCAGGCTCGTCCCCGTTCTTCCCAGAGCGACAGGATGAGGGCCTTCCATTTTATGCGCTCATAAAGTACACATTTGTAACTATAATATGTACTAGCGCGGTTACTGTTTCGGAAGCAAATGGGAAAAAAAAGGAGATGCTGCCGATCAAGGTGCTTCTATTGTTTAGGTACCCACTCAGCCAAATGGTTCGAAATGAGCTGAGACCGACTTGAAAGTAGCCTTAACTTTCTTCTGCTCTCGGAACGATCTCTTCCAATGAAACTTTTTTATCACTCGGTTTCAACTGTCCTTCAAGGGATGCTAGTGATAGATGATATAAAGGAGCCGATTGCTCGGGTGACAACATCCAAAACGAATGATGGATCGGGAAAAATGGAACTGCTTCCTAACAATTAGCATGAAATCGACATTCCTTCCATATTGGTCGCCGATTCACGAAATCAGATCATTTTAGAAGAAGAAACTTTCGGAATCCTCCGATTTCTACGTAATAAGGGTTTTAGTGATACTCAGAACCAGGAAAGCAATACTTCCCCACAGCTGCTGATCATTAACACTAGATCTGGATTTGAAATCCGACTCAGTGACTTCGAGCCCACTGACCAGGTACTTAGGTGGTTACGACTAAAAACGCTAAGCTACCCAGCGGGAGTACAAGTTTGGCGAGAAGTCCATTTTCGGGCATGAAGCTGCTCTGGGCACCAAATGTATACGAAAATTACTTATTAATCTCTTCCATACTATTCATTTTCATCAGGTTGATACCTATTCATACATATCCGGTCAGGACATTTTATGCTTATCTTGATGATCAAGCCCTCATCTCAGATAAGAGAGGTGGTCCTATTTTTCAATTTGGGCTCGGATTTTCAAAAATCCGAGTAGACATTGAGAATTAGCACAGGGACCCCATTGCAAAGCTACATGCATTCTATCAGAAAACTCAAAAATTGTTCCATGTTGATCTTCACCGATCACTCTCCAGGCATACGGTAGCCAGGGTTGATCTACGGTCGATGTCGTCGGCTCCCCATCTTGACGTCGCCGTAGCCCACTGTCTGCGTCCTTCCCATTCCCGTTATGATCGATTTTTTGTCAGTCCCTCGATTTATTTATTATTGATTGATTGATTGGTTTTTATTTATAATCATTATTAATATTTCGATGAGACGGTTCCTTTCCGTTTCGTCCATCGATGCAACAGATTAAAACGGTCGATCATTCTCAATATTACGAGGGTTTTAAGAACAAGGGCAAACTATTTTTGGGGTTTCAACCGAAATTTAAATAGGCATGGACAAGGCTCTCAATGCTGGTTGTGCTTGTAAAGTCCATTTGGCAAATCGCCAACTTTGGAAAAAAGAATTTCCAACGACTGGGGTTTCCGACGATATCTCATACATAGTTACTGATTGCATGGCTGGCTACATGGTGAGCAGCCCTAGGAATCTCAAAAAGCCAAATGTTCAAGGGCCTTCGAGGGCGCATAGGACAGAGATCGCCGCTCGAGCCCGTCATCAGAGTAAACCTCAAGAAGAGCGCCTTCTTCCTCTGTCGCGGTTTTCACATAGAGTTTTCCCATGGAATAAGCAACCTCATTCCTTTTCTTTTCAAGTTCAATGAGAAAGCTTTTCCCTTCATCTCTTTCTTTTCTTTTTTTTTTCAGGGTCATATGGGATCCAGTGGAACCGGTCCAAGTCTATTCCTATTCCGGAACTGCCTAGAGCTGTACTATGGAGCTAATTGTTATCGGTGAACCTATTATTCAGCTACAGTCAGAACGTAAAAACAAGGCTGAAGGAAGTTGTGGAATACTGTTTCGTTAACGGAAAGAACGTCATGCCATTGCTATCGTGATGCGGCTATTTTCAGGTCAGTTCAAAACAATTCAGTTTACCTGAGTGTACGGTATAAATGAGTACAGCAGCATGATGGTAGTAATGGAGGAATATTAGAGGCTTCTTCCGAAGAACAATAAATAATGTATCTCCTAGTTCGACGATCTGAAAGTCACAATTTAACTCCTGATCATTATAGTACTGCCAGTTAACGACCACAGAGCGCCCCATAGCACAAAATTCCCTCTCTTTTCAGAACTTCTTCATGAAAAATATAAAAGTCTCTCCTGAAAAACCCCATTCTGGAATGCGCCCACGCATTCGACTCCCTCTCAGAATCGAAAGGATGTCTGTATTCGTATGAGGGTTTTTACAATGACTAGCAATGGCCAACCCATGTATAAGTCATTGCTTTTATCCTCATAGACAAGTGTGGTAATGAGTAAGAGACCCCGGAAGGGCGGGAGGCTTGGTTGGCCTGGGCGAATATCGATCTGGGCATCGAACCATGAACCGCGTGCAGGTGACAATGTCCCACGGCTCCACCACTTCACCTCATCTATTACAAAAGAGTTGAAATATTTAAACCTCCCTACTACACTTTTGATTTTTTACTTTTTTTACACTTTTTTTGGCTTTTAGACTTTTGTCTTTTTCCTTTTTTTTTTGAAATTTTAATTATAGGATTGGGTTTGAAGTGAAAATATTTCTTACACGAATTTTATCATAAATTTAGTCATTATACCTTTGATATAGCAAAAAGAAAGCTCCAAAAAGCTGCCACGTCGTTGGGATGGCAAGAAAAACAAAGTGACCGATATATTCCATGCTTATAAAGCGACTGAATAAAATCCTGCAAATAATCAAAATCAAAGCATTCCAGCATATCTCCTACTGGCTCAAAGCAAAAAGTAATGGTGCTAACCTCCGTAAATCGAATGAAACCTATGATACTAAAGATTGCCAATGCTCCATTCCATAGGACTAAGGCTGTTCTCAATGAGAACGGTTTACGATTCTCCATAAATCGTTGGAGAGCTAAAAAAAAATGCCGATTGATCTTTATTAGTGTTAGAAAAAACGACAAGACTGTTTACCTTTCATGATTATGAAGTAAATAATGGAAATTGTAAATGAGTGGTGCCAATATTGCTGAAAAACTATGGTCCATCCTACTGGATCTTCGACTTTTTCGAATGGTAGTGCATATCTGAAAATTGAAGGTCCTTAATAGTGCTTTTCAAGTAGAATTTGAGAATTTTCTACTTTTCAGGGAATTATAAGGAGATAGCGACCTAATTCTGTAAATTTTTCGGGTTTTTGCTTGAGAAAAGAAAAAAGGATTGAAAAACAACTCGAAAATACTGTATTTATTCTTACTGCGACCGAAAAAAATTCGAAATTTCTTGAGGGAATGATCAAAAAAATCAGTGGGGCTTCTTTGAGACCCCTATCAGGGAGGCTTCATTCCTAGAAGGATTCCCTATCGCTCATTCCGCGGCTACGCTTGTCTCCTCTACTGCATCTCCCTAGGAGCGTAGTGCATCAAAAATCTCTGGCCAGTTCCTTCCCAACTGAGTTTTTCTGGGTCTCTGGGTGGACTTTGAGCGCTTAAGCCGGTCATACTTTGTAATGAATTGCGATCCACACTTTTGTGTGACAGTTGACGGATCCTGGAAACGGCCCGGTCTACAGTTTCAACACTGTTCCTAACAAACAACACCGAACACCCGAACACATAGATTTTCTGCTTAGTAAGCGCCACATCCTGAAAGAAAACGACCATTTCGAACAAAGACCATCGAAGCGCAGCCGTTGAACAGGATCACCCATCACATCCAATTTCCTCTAAAGAGATAGGAAAACAGATCAATGAGCGTTCTCACGTGCTTTCCTTTCGTTCTTCCCCGTGGTGTGTACTTACAATTAGACAAGAAGAAATGGGGTGTTGAAAGTGTGATGACCGTTTTAATATCATCCCATATAGGTCGATCATATCGGGGGAAGTTCAAGTTTTAGAAGTCATATCACAGGAACTTCAATCAGAGTTAGAGAACACCCTATCTTTGCTAGTACAACCTGGACTCCAATTTGGAGGGCGCATTCGACAATCCCTGACATAAGACCTGATTCTTCATCGGTAACCCTATTATTACAGTAAGTAGCGTCGCCTCATCGTGACAGTTGTGCCAGTTCTCAACCCCTAAAAGAACGCATGATCTTTTGTGGCTTTCAGTAGGGACAGAAGGTCCTTTTTTTGAGATAATGGCACCAAGAAATGGCTAGATCTCCTGCCACCTGTCAGTCATAAACTTTTTACCGATTTCTGCAATGGCAACCAGTTCCTGCAGTTTGGCGAAGGAGTTCCTGCAGAGTTTTTAAGCCTTTTGGTTCTTCATGGACACCAATCCGGGTTCACGCGGAAACGTCATAGCTCTTGCAAATGCAAAGTTTAAGCTAGAAAGAAAAGTTGCAAGTAAAACGTTGGCGACATTCGCTCATAAAAGGATATTATTTTTGAGATGTTTTTGAGGAATTTTGATGAACATATGGAAATCCTAAAAATTCTGATCTCCTCCTTCATTAGAAGAATCAAGACAGCTCAATAATCAAATTTGTAATTGTACTCACTTATAACGGTATGTGTCCTCGTATCGTGTATGATTACCCTTGTAAATTTTGAACTCATTGAGTTCCCGAATGAAATCCATCTGGAACTGGAAACTCGTTCCCAAGTCCTCAGCGTCTATAATAATGCCGACATGAATTTTTCTCCACAAGCGAGAACAATGATAGGGTTACGGTACCGAGAAAAAATCAATTTGCTGAATTACCAGATAAAAAAAAGTAGAGAGAAAAACATGAGTGAATCGTCTGGGGACAGAAGGTGTTGTGGGGGGTGGCTGGCTGTTTGGATGGGTCACTAGCCGAGCGCGAACTTGCAGGAACCGGCTCAAAACGGTTGACAGACAAAACGAGTCGTCCGAGATTTCGTATATCATACCCACAATTAGCCTATTCTGATAACTCTGAGTCTAGAGCTGAAGTAAATTTTGATTGTTGATTCATCAGATGGTTCCGAAAGGAGTTGGTCGAAAGGTCTGGGGGTCTGAATGACTAGAAGTTCGCTCAATACTTGCTGATAGTGCAATTTTGGAAGTACATCCTACAGTAGTACAGTGGCAAAATGGATTAAACTTCCCCAACCGAGAATATGGCCTGAAGATTTCTATTTTTAATGCTGAAAAATTTGAGCTGTTGAAAATCTGTCGTTTTTTTGGTGCCCACCGCCCATATTGGCCCTGATGCTGATCAGAAACTCTAGCACACATTTATGATTAAAAGGAGGACCTATAAAAGGCTGAGGTTTGTCATGCACGGTCTTCAGCCTTCGATTGATCTTATTTCTGGAACGGGCCCCCATCCGGCTTCCATTTACTGACGTTTTTGATTCTGTATATGGCCTACACAACAAATTGCGGTGCATAGCGGTGTACATCACATCGTTCATATCCTCCCAAACGAATCTAGGGTCAATTAGCAGGGCGCGGAGGGAAGGCATAGTTGGTCTGGGGTAGGAGGGGTAGAGGGAGGGGAATGAATAGTCTGGGACCAGATTCGATCCTCAGACTATGGATGTGACTATGTACCACTATGTACTACGACACTTTCGCTCGGATTACCGGTATACCGGTATAAGTCAGCAAATGATTTGTAGGGTGTCGAGAATATCCAAGGACAGGGCTACTTTCATCTCATCTGTCTATTAAATACTAGTCAATGCACATTGATCTTTTTTTCCGAAAACGGTCTTATGAATGACTTTACAGTATTGACAAAGTACCTTCTCTGATTTGCAATGACGTTGTAGAATGACATTGAGTAGCGTCTGCGACTATACGAGAATGGTTTTTCCGGGAGAGTAGCTAGGTACATTAGTTGTTGCTATGGACTGGTTTTTAGGTTTGTTAGACTTGAGGGTTTATTCATATGCCTATGAAAGTACGAGTCTATGGGTACTCTCTCGTATCGTACTGGTTTATGGTCGGAATTCGGAACTAGCCCTTGTTAGTAGGGTCACTGAAGTTGGCCGAACGCAAAATGTGACATGACGTCCTATAATTGAAAAACTGAATGATTCATCGAAAGTTCAAGATTTATCTGACTCACCTGACCTTTTTCCGGAATTTTGCGACTAATTTCACTTATTTTATTTTATTTTACTGACTATTCCCTTAGGTTAAGTCTTCTACAATTGATGAAAAGGGAAACTGTATCGAAAGTTGGCCTTATCAAACTGGCTTAGGGTAACAGTTAACAAGTTTTTTTTTGACTTCAAAGTTATCCCTGATTTTTGATCCCAAAGTTAGTTTTGATCCAAGTTTGATCCCAGAATCCCAAGTAAGTCATGTCTGGGAGCGAACTCGCTGCATACGCTGAAAGGCCTTTCACGGGGGTATAGAGGCTTTTCGACACCGGCTTCCTCTAATTCACTTCTTTTCTGATCAAGACCACTCATTTCTTTTCTCATCACGACCGGGTCAAGAGAGATTCACTTATTTACTTATTTATTTATTTATTTATTTATTTACTTTTGCACTCACAGAGAGCACCGCAAGTGAGTCTAGAAGGGACTCTACTTCCACGTGTTCTCATTGCTGAGGCTCAGAGCTAAGGGCAGCCTACCACGGATTATTATGCTCTGTCATTATCGCACCGTATCATATCACCCTATCACTATCGGTCCCATTTTTTACTAGTCTATCAGTTCTAGTTGCCGTCCACGGAAGGTGAATGGTCCTATCAATTTCATAGAAAATTATAGCTGTCATATTCTAATTATTTATAATAGTATACGAAAATTCATGCTTTTCATCCATGGAGTTATGAAACGAATGAGATCACTGATAGGATTAAGGTATCAATGTTCGTAATGAAAAGCTTTCAACATTGGACGCGAGAGCTAAAGAAAAGGTTCCCCAAATCGCTACACTCTAGCCGTCGGTTTCCAAAGGGAGCGGGAAAAAACGGGGTAGCAATGTCAAACTGGACTGGTGACACCTCACAGGAATCGGGTTGCTCAAGGTCCGTTTTTCTGTGCTCCTTTCATCAAAGATTGGTTTCTGGCATACCAGACTTATTTTACATACCCATTATGATGGCAAAGAATTGTCGTTGTCCTTCACCTGCCTTGTCATCGAACAATAGTACTGTTGTCTCCTCAATAAAATACTTTTACAGATCTATGACATTGCTGCAGAACTCGTATTCGATTCCCTATATCAAACCTGTTTCTAAAATTGGTTCTGAAGGAGTACTTGTTTTTCCATTCAAGACATTCTGAACAGAATCGTTTGCACTTTTGTCGGAGAAGGTGACAAATTGCTTGGTTGGGAGGCAGCTGTTACTGCCTTTTGGGCCCTCCAATAGCTTGAAAAAAAANAAAAAAAAGCAAGAAGATTAAATGTCTTCAGAAAAATGGATGCTCGCCCATGCTCCCAACTGCCAACCATTTACACATCCTATCCTATTATGAATAAAATATTGGATTCATCAAAAGGGTTCATCTATCAAAAATCGGTCCACGATTCCAGGACGGGTCCCGTTGGTCGATGCAGAGGCCAAAAGGGAATTTATTGGCGCTTTGGACGATTTGCTCAATGCCAAAGGCTCAAGTTTTTCAAGAACTCGGCCGAACTAATGTAGAATGCGCTTCCCGTGCTGTTCCGTACCGCCGATTTTATGCAAAGATAAAAGAGAACGGACTTTTAAGGTAACGGAAAATGATAACAAATGATAAGAAATGATACTAAACATTCAAATGCGAAAAACACTGGATTCGTTATGCTCCCGTACTAATCGATGTCAACACTCTTTAGGTACTTCAGATATTTGACTAAGGTATTGGGTTTTCACTTTCAAGCATCTCTGAGAGCTCATTTTTGGTCGGGAGAAGGCAATGTGAGGGTGTTCTTCCAACAAACCCTTGTTTCAGACGTTCACGTCGTCGATGAGATTCTTCTTTTTTGAGGAGTTTCATTTTCTCCCGAGATAATTACAATTGCTAACGATCCTGACATTCCAGTATAGCGAACGCTGCATGGGAGTTGTTTAAACTGAAACTGGACAATAGATGAATCCTTTCGAACTGGGAGACCTCCATATGTATATCTGGTACTTGCCCTGTTTACAGTTGATGGACATTTTTCGGGTAAACAAACAAG